TGCCAATTGCTTGGTGACCAGCAAAGGACAGAGGGAATGTGGTGGGCACGCGGCTGGACTTTCACATCTGCAGATTAAGAGCTGAATAATAAACTCATAAAGTGGCTCTCAGGCAAAATAGAGCAAAGCCAGAGGTAGCTGAGCCATAACAGGGCATCAGTTTGGAATGCCAGGAGGGTTGGACATGAAAGATGGGGAAATAATTTATATGCTCATTAATTTTTTAATTGTCATCCAAAATTCTGCATTATGGGCTGTAGACTTCTGCGCAGAGAGGATGAGGACGGGGCTGGGGACAGATGCCCGCTCTCTTTGGGTCACTAGATGGCACAATTCTGGCTATTTTCTTCCTTGCTCAAAGGCATTTTGCAGCAGGAACCCAGCAGCTACGGGGAGAAAATAGTTCTCGCTGCCGTAGCGGCGGTTGGACAGAGCATTTCAGTCATCAATCACTTGCCCACAATATTTAACAGATGCAGAAGAACAAACTGCGGGAGTCCAGCCCCAGCTGAGAGAGAAAACCTTGTGTTCTTGGTGGAATTTTACTTTTCTCTCCTGGAAAGTTTAGGAAATGACTCTGAGTAGATGTGTCTAGGGTGAGACAAAGTCCTCAGCTGCTGGAGATGCATTGCTGCAGGTGTGCACTGAGGCCTGAGCTTTGTGGCTACCAGCAAAGGTTCAGGTAGCCTCCAAAATCAATTCCCCATGCCCAAGGGCTGGTCCCATTTGTGCTGCTGCCTTTTGTGTGTCCTTGCAGGAGAGCAGTGATTCCCTCCACAGGAGTCAAAGCAGGTCCTGAGCAAAACCTGGATGCGGGTTAGGGAGACACAACACTCAGTGCTTATTGTATCCCGCTGATGTTACAGCCTGTAAGGAAAACACAGTTCTGCACTGCTGCTCCTGTCTCCTGGAAATAATTGTTCAGATCCACTGAATTCACACCAAAATCACATGGCAATGTCTGTGAAAAGGCAGGAAATCCATATCCTGGGAAACACTGACGCAGCTGCAGTAGGAGATAGCCTAGTTCACAAGGTCACAGTAAGAGTGGGCACTAATTACAGCTGGAGATGTTAAAAGCCCTCCTGAGCAAGGCTGATCTGGGCAGGGAGAGGATGAGATGCTGCAGGCAGAAAAGGACAGCCATTGCAGGTGTCATTTTTTTATCTCTCTCACTTGCCTGTATGAAAATGGGAAATCAATAGTTATCTGTAAGGCATGGAATCAACTTAGCAAAGATCTTACCTAAACACTTTACTGCTTTCCATAACCTGCAGCCAGCCCTGCCAGAGTGCATGGAGACATCAGGGAGAGGACAACGGGGAGCCCCAGTCCAAGGAAGCACCCTGGGGCAGGCACACAGGCAGGAAAGGTGCTACTCCCTGCTCTTAGCTAAATCCCTGACTCTCCCTGTGCCCTGGGAAATGAAAACAGAGGTGCCCAAACACAAAAAAATGCCCCTTGAAAGCTAGTGAAAATATGGAGAAACCTAAAAATCTGTTGGAACTGATGGAATCAATGTTGGGCCTCAGCTCAGCTGGAAATTGCAATTGAGCAAAAAGCCTTGGTAAGCCATCAATGGCCATCAGGAGGGGAAAATCAGTCTATTGTCATTCCCAGTGGCTGCTGCTGAATGGAATGCAGGTAGGTATTAAGGAAATACCTTAATAACTGAGCTCACCTGATACATCTTTAGCCTTAGGGACTGGTTGTGATTTTGAAAGAATAAATAAGTTGTATTTACTTTCTGGGAGGTTTCTTGCTAATGAATATATAATTAAACTAAAATAGATCTGCATTGTGACCTGATAATGAGCTAATGAGGAGTGAATCCTGCAGTCATGAAACCAGTGTCAGTATTAAATCAAACAGGGATTAACAATTAAATATTAACAGCTGATCAAAACATCAGCTAGACTGTTAGCAGAATTTGAATAATGAAGCAATGCAGTACTGGAATGGTTACAAAACATTAACCTAGCAAAACTAAGAGCTGCTGTGACCTTTTCCTGCTCCTCTTGTGCAGGAGATGGGTCCTCAAAACCTACCATAGAATTTGGCTACAATAGAAGTATGATTAAGGAATTAACTCTTATTCTATACACATACTGAAGAAGAGAGGCTCACAAGTGTTGATGCAATATTCTCGATATACAAAGAATATTTGTACAAGAATTCTTTGTGTGTGAAGTGTATTTGAGGAGGATGAGTTAAGGTAGTATTTGTGCTCTATTTGTGTTTCCCAAGGAGGAACACAGGGCTGGAGGGACCAAAGAAACTAATCCTTAATATTCACCCCTCATCAGGGCATAGAGATTCAGTGCCCACTGAGCCACTGCTTGGTGTGACCCACGGGTTGCAAGTCACAAAACAGCTCCCACCACCTTGAAACAAACTGAAGACCATTCAAGATAAAGGCCAAAAATTCTCCTCTATCACTGAACAGGAGAAATCAGTGATCTGAGATTTGTAATTACACCTGCACTTCTTCTCTGCTAAACAAGAAATAAATCTTCACGGCAAGAAATAACCTTTGTGCTCAGAAACAGCTATGGAAAACAACAGCAAGAGGCTGGCAGGCATCCCTGAGTGTTTGTGGGGAGGGATAATGTGCTGGCTGCATAGGCTGTGCAATTTTTGATGCAGAGTTGATGCTTTTGCTGGGTACCTCCTCCCCAGGAGCAATCTCTGAGCTGGGTGAGCTGGGCTGAGGCTGCCTGCAGCATCTCTCCTCCCTCTGGGAGGCTGAGGGAGCATTTGCCTCTCTGGGCAGGAGCGGGGATGTGGGCAGTGGAGCAGTCACTGAGCACAGCTCTGCCTCTGGGGTGTGTTCACCCTCCATCTCCTTCCCACTGTGTCTCTGAAGGACCAGGGCAGCAGGGACACAGCCCAGGAAGCAGAGCCAAAAATGTTCCCAGAGTTTCCCTGCCCTGGCAGAGAGAATCAGCAGTGTCAGTTCTTCTGCCCCAAAGACCCACAGAAAACATATTTCTGATGGGGCTGTAAAAAAGTTTAAAAAAAAAAAACAAAACAAACTGCCAAGTTCTGAATGCAGTTTCCAGCTTCCTGCAATAACAGACAAAAATTCCTGTCACCTCCAGATCTCTTTGTGCATTCTTGGTACAATCTGTGAATTCATCACATCGCTCATAACTCTTGTACTTGTTGTCTCTCAGGACCTTGTAAAAAAGCCTCCATCACCCCTCCTACTGTGTTTACATCTGTTTGATATAGCTCATCTGTTGGCAGTAACCTGCTCCCAGTTTGGCTGACATAAACGTCTTCCAGCCCAACAGCACGAACTCTGCAGGCACAAACCCTTGCCTGGACAGCAGAGCTGCCACCAGGGCTCTGCTGAGATGGTTGTGCTGTGCCCTCAGCCCTGTGCAGATGCCTGGCTCTGCTGGGATGGTTGTGCTGTGCCCTCAGCCCTGTGCAGGTGCCTGGCTCTGCTGGGATGGTTGTGCTGTGCCCTCAGCCCTGTGCAGGTGCCTGGCCCTGCAGCAGGGCCATATGGAGCTGCTGTTGTCCTGTCTGTTCCAGGCCCTGGGTGTTTCTCAGCTTGGAGCCATGTCAGGGCTGGGTTATGTTTTGGCCTTGCTGGTCAGCTCTGTGCTGCAGCACGAGGTGCTGCTTCCAGGAGAACCCATCAGAGGACTCGGCCCTTCATTTTCCATCATAGGAGTTATCAGAAGTGCTGCTTGGGATGCAGTTCACTCCAACTTCAGCCAGCCCATCTCCCTCTGGGCTACATAAGATAAAGTTTCACTTCATACTGTCTGGGAGAAGGAAATCCAGCCTCCCCATCAAGCAGCCCATGGAGGAAGCCTCCCTCTGGTAGTGCTTCACACCCAGCTGAGACTCCAGCTTTGTTTCTCCACTGCCCCATAGCAGATAAATCTCTGTGCTGGGAGACTTTTCTCAACCCTCAGTGGCCCTTATATGGTGTGGTGCCCATGGTCAGAAAGGACTGGATTTGGACAGTTCCTATCAGCTCTAAGAAAACTCTGTCTCAGCTTCTCTCTATTAAATGCATGAAAAATGTTCACATCCATCCTCAGGGAACATGTTAAGCCACACAGGGGTTTTCATCCCCCACCCTAGTGAATACCTGGCTGATGCCCTAACCTCATCCAGCCTATGGCAGCCTGGATTGCAGCCAGGGACAGCAGTCCTGAACTGGGTTTAAATACCTTTTAATGGAAAGGGACAATAGATTTTAGTATCATTTTTCCTAGCTTCTAGTTAATGTAGATATATTGTAATGCACAAGTTCAGGTTTTGGATCTTCACTCACTTCATCCAATAAATGTTTTTATTAAGCAGAATGAAGCTGGCAATTTCTAGATTTCACTGGGTTTAGTAGTGTACCTTTTAACACTGACTGAGAAGGACTGTATTTTTCAGGCAAGAATGCACCTGCATTTACAATCATTTCTCACTGCAGACTCATGGACCAAAGAGAGGGTCAGACATTTAACACAGCTCTTATCTCTTGAAAAGCTCCCCAGCTGCCTGTAAGAGAAGCAGACCCCTCTACTGAGGGCACAGGGTCCAGATGTTGTTCAGGCAGTCAGTCCCTCCCTTTGCCAGGATTTTCTCCTTTGTACACTCTGGTGACACATTGCCAGATGTGGACCAGATCCATCTTGCAATTTGGGTGTCTTCATGCAGAACACTGTGCTCTGGAATGGCTGGTTTATCTCATTTCCACCAATAACGTTGAGACAAATGCTGAAAAGAGTTTGTGTTGATTATTTCAGTCTGTGCTTATACAAGTGGTCTCAGCACCCAAGGCAAGAGGATTCCAGAAATCAGGATCTTCTCAGAGTTTACTTTCTTGAAGGAAAGGAATTTTGAAGCCCTTGTAATGAAGACATTGTAGCATACAGCAGATCCTTGAAATTCAACTGCATCTGTATCACAACCACAAGAGCTTGAGTCTCTGCGCAATCACTACAAATTAAAGCAGAGCTCTTTCTGGAGCACTTACCTCCTGCTCACACCCTTGTGTCCACCGCATACATTTTGGAGGTGGCTGTCTGCGAGGATGGCAAATGCACGTTTGTTACCAAGGTGGCAGCTGAGGAATAGCCTTTCCTCAAGGAGTAGGCAGAATGGAATCTTCCAGAACTGGTCTCTGTGAGGCACAGAGAGAGAAATAGGAACTGCTAATGAGTGCTTGGTGACTTTCAGCCGCAAAGTTTCATTATTCAGGGAAAGCAGCACTCCAAGGTGTGATATAATAACAACAACACACTTTATGTCATCCTTACACCCCAGCTCCCACATGAAGACCTTGATGTGCTTTCTGGAGCTGCCTAAGACTATTCCCATTTTACAGCTGAAAATATCGTCCCTGGAGATGAGCAACCATGCCAAAGGACTTTCCCCACCTGTAGCACACCCTGAGCAATGGCTCTGTCCCTGAGCTGTGCCTCAGCCGTGCTTCCTCACCTCTGAAGAGATACATGCAGCAGGTGAGCAGGGACCCGGACAAGAAGCAGCCAAGTGACCCCGCCATGCCAAGCCAGCAGGACCAACCAAACTTGTACTGGATGCCCAGGAAGATGTTGTGGAAGAGCAGGGAGGAGCGCTCCACGTAGACATCCACGGCGTACCACACGGAGCCCGTGATGCCAGGGAGACCTGCAGAGAGGGGCCACACTCACAGCCATGGGGGATCAGACCTAAAGTACAGCTGCAGGGTGGGAAGACCTTCCTGGGACAGCAGGTTTTGGCTCCTGTCCATGCTCAGGTGGATTCACCCTGGCTCCTGCTGATACCCTGTGCTGCCAGGCAGAGGCTGCACCTCTTGGCTCAGCACTCACACACACTTCCAGCACACTGGCAGCACTCAGATTTCTGCAGCAAAAGGCAGGAAGCTCCTCCCATCTCAGCTGCTTGTAAAGTTGTCTCTAGAATTCAATTTTCTGATTTTTTTTTTCTGATTTTCAGAACTTTGATGATGTGCTTTTCAGACAAACTTTGAGAAGTGAATTGGAAGATGTTTCAAAGAGCCTCTTAATGTGTTTTACATGTGCTCCCAGTGGCTGGGGTGAGTTATTAAATCTGCTTAGACTGAAGAAGAGGTATCTGCTTGATATTGGCATAAAGTCAAATTATATTATTTGGTACCTAGTTGGCTACTTTCGTGTTTAAAATTCTCCCATTGGCTGTAACAGCAAAGCACCTCAGCCAGTTGGGTATTTATCACCTAGAAGGGACAGACATGCTATTATCCTTTTATTAGAGATCAGCTGCAGAGATTTTGGGCTAAGTGACTTGCCCAAGGTCACACAATCTGTGGCAGAGCCAGGAACCAAACCAGGATGCCAGGACTTTCTAGTCTTTCAGCAACTGGTCTAGAGACCTACAGCAAGATTTCTTTGCTGTATCAACAACCTCAACTGCTCCACAGCGAAACAGCAATAAATGGAAGTCAGTCAACTCAAAGCCAACTCACCTGGTCAAAACATGAACTGAAAGCAGATAAACTCAACTACATGCTGTTTGAAGCAGGTGGTGAACAGAAGAAGCTGCATTACACAAATAAATCAAATAAAGGTCCTTTCCCCTACAGAAAATCGCCAGCCAAAATAAAAGAAGGCTTTTAATGCTTCCCCACTTTGCTACAGGGTGTCGTACAGAAAGGGAACACTGTGGGGAAATACCTGCAAGGAGCAACATAACCCCAGCCACCAGGCAGATGCGCAACTTGATGAGCGGCTCGTCGGGAAGGAATTTCACACAGTCCAGTCCCAGGACCAGGAAGAGAAATCCAAATCCTGACAGGAGGTCTGCTGTTATCATCATGGCTCGGGTCAGCACCAGCTTCACTGCAGGACAAAAGCAGATCATTCCACTGCACAAGGAATGGAAATGTGGGCAGGGAATGGGGTCAGATCCCACGGGAACATTTTATTTTCTGGTGTTCAGCTTTTTTCAGCTTCCCCTGGGAGTAATACCTGACTGAGAAAAGAAACATGCCTCTAATTATCTGTCACTGAGTGGAACAGATACTCTTAGTCTGCACTCAAGTGTCCCCACCACTTGCAGAAACATCTCTGACTCTTACATACCAGAATGCTCGGCGTAGATGGAGTCGTACTCATCACAAGTTTGGATCCCATCAAAAACGTTTGTGACACATTCCCACCACAGGCCACGGCATTTTGTACTCACCTGTGGATTGAGAGGACAAAAGAGACCATAGGGTAAAATATCCACCAATGCAGCAGGTGGTTGTCTTAGCCCTTCAACAGAAATCCTGGTCCAGTTACAATGATGGTCAAGCAGAATGTTTAGCTTGAAGAGAAAAAGTAGAAATATGGAGGGAAAGGACAATGTTTTCTATGTCCCTACTAATGCTTTTACATTAGAGCAAAAGAATTCAGAGTAGACATTAGGGAAAAAAGCCTTGCCTAGTAAGGATACAAATTTTTAAGGAAATTTCTGGGAGGAGCTGGGGGGTGGCTGACCAGAAAGATCTAAGAGCAGGTTTGCTCACCCATTGCCAAACTCTTGTCTAGGCTGAGCTGGGCAGGGCCATGGACCAGACAACCCGATATTTTGCTGCCTGTGCTCCCCTTCCTTACCCCATCCTCCTGATGGCTAAGGAGCAGCTCAGAGAGCGGGAGAGGAGTGCAGAGCAGTCTGGATGTGAGCCCGGGGAGGGCTGCCCCCAGATGACTCAGCTGTAAACACTGGCTGGAAAACCAGAGGCAGCCGGTGCTGATCCCGGCCCTGGGGGTGCTGATCCCGGCCCTGGGGCTCCCTCTGTGCTGCCAGCCCTGGGACCACGCGTGCCCAAGCCACAGTCATCACCGAGACACGCAGACTGGGCCAGGCCGGGCAGCAGCATCGTGGTTAATCGTCTGTCCTCCAGCCCTAGATACCATTCCCAGCCCAGCCTTCCATAAATCACTTTAATACGGGAGGCGTTTCCATTACCAATGCAAATATGGCAACAAGCGCCTTTAAAATATTCCTGGAATTGCTCATAGGAGGAGCAGAGTTAATGTCGGTGCAGCTTTGGACTCCAGCCCGCCCACTTCTGCCAGCGACACCCGCTGCAGTTAATGGAAAGAGAAACTCTTCCAGCAAATGAGCTTCACGCAGGGGAAGGGGACCAGGCTTGCTTGGATGATGCAATAAATTAATTTTTCTTGCACTGTGTAAATCACAAAGCAGATAATAACATATCTCGGACACATAATAAAGTCTTAATTCAGGATGTACTGAAGTCTGTAGCCAACTGTAGTATTTTCTCCACAACACAATGTCTGAGCCAAGCTGTGCACCTCCTCTGTGATACTGCTGTCTGGATCAAATGGGAGGAAAAATGACTCGCTGCTTCAGAATGGCAGAAGAGATGCTATTTATATTTGAATGAAAATAATCTACATGTTTTGTTTCATGAAGATGAGAAGTGCTTAAGGTTTCTGAGAATTTCAGGGCATATTTAATGAAAAATATGATGAAAAATGAGAAGCAGTGATGGAAAAAACTAATTTCATTGATTCTGTGCTTTTCAAGAGAACAGAGTCTCGTAAAATAATTTGCCATGTTTACATTCAATGTATTTTTACCGTGGCCCTCTTAATGCAGTTGCAGGTCCTCTTCTGTCTTAGCTCACCACTGTTCAGGCTGTGCTTGAAATTAGCATATTTTTATTAAATTACATTTTATTCCACTTGTGTTTATATAATTTCTCTTTCCTCCCAAACCACCATAGGCTTATTTATACTACTCTGCATTCAGCTAATCATGTCACTTACTTCCTCACTTGCTGATATTATTACTGTTTTTTAAATCTTACAAGCAGCATCTACATCTAAATTATTTATAAGAAGACTAACAGGATTCCAGGCTTTGTCACCCTCCAAGCAAAACAGAGGTCTTAAGCACAACAGTTACGGTCCAGCTTGTGAAATAACCCCCTTCCCAAACTAATAAAAACTTGTTTAATGTTTTTTGTTCTTGGCATGTTTCAGTTGTCACTACTCCTGGGCAAAGCAGGAGCCAGCCCATGTCCACATAGCCTGTGTACAGCCAGGGATAACTGTCCCATTGCCTGGTGCAGGAGGGATAGGAACAGGTGTCACTGTGGGGACCTGTGGCTGCCCTCAGCTGCTGCTGAGCTATTCTGGATTCTGCTGCCAAGGGCCAACACTTGCTCCTCTCTGCTTTGTGCACTGCTGATCCTTCTGGTTGTTAATCTGCTCCCAAGCCACCCTTGAGCATCCTCCCTTGCACTGACAGCACAGACCCTCAGGCACACGGGAACTCGCTGCTGTAAAGGGGACAGGGGTCAGGGCATGGGGCACCATGTGGGGACATGGATTTGCCCATCCATGGCTGGACTCCTGCACCATGTTGGTAGCACTAATTCCCCATCACCTCTCTCCCCCTACAGCAGATGTGCTCCAGCTTCCCTGGGCCCAGCTGAGGACTCCCAGAGCAGCCAAAATCACAGCCATGCTCCTCATCCTCCACTCGGATTACAAAACACGACCTGCTTTCCCTAACACAAGTATGCATGTAAAACATGAACTGCATAATGACTGTAATACACATAATTATATCCTATTCATAATGTATAATTAATATTAAAATAATTCTCATACAGAAAAAAAGGAAAATTACAGAACAAGCGCACGCTTCTCCTTCTGGGGAAAGCGGAGAAGACAAACACATAAGCAATGTTAGTCACAGTGTTTTACCGCACTCTGAGAAGGTGCCAGCAGACAATGATTACAAGCCCAGCTTGAGTGTAAAACAGGCAGCATTTAACAGTAGTGGTGGTATTTATAATCCACCTGCAACAGGGAGGGACTGTCTACACAATACAGCCCTCGTTGAGAAGCAGATTATGGGCTTTTTCCACTACAAACTACCGCAAAAATGGACCCAGCCCTGTCTTGATGCTTCACAGGGAGTCACTAACTTAAATAGCTTTCTGTAACCTGTTGTTTCTCAAGGGAGGTGAGGGTGAAAGCTGAGTCAGGGCCCCTGCAGCCTCTTCTTCCTGGGATGCTCCTCTCCACTGGGACCACAGTGAGGGCTTCATCCTCCCCAGCTGCAGGGGGTCAGAGTCAAAGCCAAGCAACCAGCCACGATCCAGCAGCTGCTGAAGCATGGAGCTCCCTTCTTCTGGAGCCAAAGTTGCCTAACTTACCCTTTTTTCCATCTGAAAACAGGAGTAACTGCGCACTCTAGCCTTTCTAGCCGTGGACATTCCCTATTTAGAGAGGCAGTGAGTCATTAGGGTCATTAAGATCAGTGGTCAGGTATTAAGGCTGGGGGCGCTTTGCTCCATTATTTAGTATTCACACTCAGAGCCGGAATGTGAGAATAGTGGTTGCTAATGACCAAACTGGGTGTTAATGGAGCACTTCGGACAGCCCATCGCAGGTGCCTTTGCCCAGGAAGACAAGGTTACACAGCCTCAGGTAACGGACCAGCTCTTTACTGGACTCACTCAGGAGCTGGGCTTCTCTCATCTGGTTTTCCCCACAACTGGACTCCCTTGGCTCTTCTGAGTATACTGATACTTTCATCTGAGTATTTTCTGATAGAAATCTGAAATATCTCCCAAATGAAGAGTCACATCCCATCCAGCATCACTGGGTGCACTCTATTTGCCCTGAAAAGTGGCTCACTGAGCTGACATGCTGACCACCAGGAGCTGCACTGCATTGGATCATCACCTTGGCACTTACATCCACCTTTCAGGGTTTCTGACCATCAGACTGTCAGGATTTCTTGTGGCGTAGAGAAAAAAAGTTTTTCTTGTAATTAGTTTTATCCTTCTTTCCTTGGATAATTCATCCCTTCATGTTCTACAGTTAAATGCTGCATTGCAACCACTGAGCAGAGGAGCTCATGGTTTCATATGCTGGATAGCAGATAGGAAGTTTTCCCCTGATACTTTCAGCCAAACTTTCTGTCCTGGAAGGTGTTTCACCTTCACTGCCTAAACCATCCAGTTTGCCAGAGAGCAGATTCCTACACTGTGGACCTGCAGCTTAACTGTACAGAAATGAATGGCTGTGCTGGGAAGAAAATTACAAATTCACAGTACTGAGTGCTGGAGAAGCAGTGGTGATTTTGGACCTGGAGTCTTTGGGGCACACCTTGCCTGTAAGCAGCAATCTGGTCCCTTGCTTGCAATTACCTTTTGCCAATATCTTTCTCTAATACAAGAGTGCTACTGTCCACATGAGTTCCAGGAGATATTGAGTCCCCATGCTCCCCTTAAATTTCTGGTAGCCCTGTAGCTCCATAGCTGGCCAGAAAAAGACTTGAGGAGAACAGTTGTACATGCTGGATGTCTCCACCAAGAAGGCTGAACTACAGAACTAGAGACATCTTGAAAATATCCATGCAGATTGGAGGTACAGGATAATTCTTCTCAAGTTCATGCACATGTAAAATCAAAGCCTGTAGATCTTTCCTGAACTTACTAAGTAAGAGCACAGTCTGGATAAAAAAGTCTGGCAAAGAGAATTTCACAAAATAAGACTCTTCTCATGCTCTTGCCACAGTAATTATTTTCATTCTCATCCACTTTCATCCAGCACAACAGGGAGAAAGAACATGAGAATGGAGTGGAGCAATGACACCAGGAACAAACTCTCTCTAGCACACATTGGTTTTGGTGATCAGACTCTCCTCACCCCAGTCTTACCTCCAGTGAGTCATCAGCATTCACCATCCAGCAGTCTGTCCAGGTAGATATTATCAAAAACGCAGCAGAGAAAAAAGCACAAAAGAAGCCCACATATTGGAGGAAAAACTTCATGGCAGCAGGTGCTCAGCACACCCAGGGGAGTGCGAACAATAGCGCCCAGCCTTGTTCCCAAAGCCAGGGCAGAGACAGAGTGTCAGTGTGCCAGAGGCCCAGCAGGGACCATGAAGAGCAGGACCTCCTCTCTTGTGCAGATGCCATCTGGTGTGATGGCTGCAGGGCAGTGCTCACTGCCAGGGGTCAGGAGGAGGGTGAGAGCGCCCACGGGAGCTGCTGCAGCCAATCCGCCCTGCCCCGCTGCGGCTCCTGTCATGCCTGACTGAAGAGAAATGGGGCTGTGCAGAAGGGACAGGTAACTGCAGCCCTGGCTGCCAGGGGAGGCAGCTATCATGGCAGGTTTTGTCAAAATAGGCATTAGAAAATAGAATCGAAACTTGTTCTCCAGGGCAGAAGTCTTGAGCCTTGCTGAGGGATACAGAGAGGAGCTCTCATGTGCACACACACATTTATTCTTGTTCAATTATTTATGCTTTACCAGGGAGCAATTATTAAGTGTCTTGGTGTAGATCCCAGGCCCCTTGGTTGTTACCCTGCTGGTCTCTGGTGCAGTGATGATCTAGTTCAATGCAGAAATGTCACCAGGGAGGAAAAGGAAAAGGCAGCAGTCATGGGCCTTCAGAGCCAACATCCACCCCCATCCCAGACACAGAACTCTACATTCTGAATTTAAGTCAAACCTCGATACCTCTCATGCCTAGGCCTCAATTTGTTCATGACATGAGTACACCTCCAATGTGGAAATCTTGATGTTTTCAGACTAGTGCCAGTCTGGAGGATTTCAGTTGGTTGGAATTCCCTGCTTGCTTACTCTGACTGCAAACTTCTGCTTTCCTGCCGGGCTCTGCAGGTGAGCAGGGGTCACACAGGCTGGCAGGGGCAGAAGGCTGGGGCCTCTGTAAGAGACTTCTCAATAACTCCTCTCATGCAGTGCTGAGAAAGTCATCAAGGCAGGAAAACCAAAAGGGAGTATGACTAGAAATTCCTCCCACCCCAAATGTACAAAAGCACAGAAACCAACGCATCCTCAATGATCCTTATTTTTTAATATAAAGAGAAGAAGTAACGGGCTGAAGAGCTGCCTTGAATGGACAAATATTCAACACAGGGCAGAGGAGCAGCCTCCCGCTCTGCGTTAAGCTTTGCTTCCAGCTGCTCGCCCAAGCTGGCGGTGTCTGTCATCTGAGCTGCCACCTCCAGATGGAGCCAAGCGGCACCTTTACAGCGCTGCTCAAAGCTTCTGCTTCTCCGGGATTCCCCTTCAAATACCGCAGCAATGAGAAGTTTATTCTCCCAACAGATAACCCGTATAATTCCAATCATAACCTCATGAGACAGTTTTGCCGACAGAGATCACAACTTTTACCCTCGATGCCAGGCTCATTCCACTCCTCATAGGTCACCCTGTGGAATAGGTCCTCAGCACATGCTTTGGGAGGCTTAAGAGGAGAACAAGAGTCCCAGGTCATAAGGCCAGGGTATGCAGGAGGCTCTGCTGCTTCAGCTTTCTGCTTTCTGTTTCCTAATTCCATTTGTAGAAGCTGACAAGTGAAGAACTTTTCTTCTTCCATCTTTCCCAGATGCAGGTCCTGATGTGGTTATGTGGATATGATGCTTTCTCCTGAGTTTTCTGGCATCCAAATGTCTGGATAAGTCAAAGAAACCTTCATGATTTTCACTTCATGGCTTTCTGTGACAAAGGTAGCTTTGTGTTTTCAACAATCCTGACCCATGGGGACGTGGCAGTGACCACACAGTTCCCATAAAGGATCATGACTCTTATTAGCACATACATGTATATAGATTGCATTTGTGTGAGACAGGTATGAAAACACACATCATCTTCCTGTACTTGCATTGTTCTGAGCTCATTAACCTCTGTCTGCACCCATTTTTAAAAAGCATCCTAGTCAGTTGTTATTAGTGGCAACTCAGAAAAAGCAATGTGGTGAGCTAGAAAAGGCCTGAAAAATCTGAGACAGCCTTCCCACAATCAGCATTAAGTCCTTAGCAGTGTCAAGACCAGAGCTTGACAGCAACAGAGCCTGGATTAACCAGGAAATGTATTATAGCCATATGAAATGTATTATAGCCATATGAAATGTTTTATAGCCATTGCCTTCTCCTTCTGTCCTGTACCCAAATGCAAGCCACTTTCAGAGAGGATAAGCCCAGTGGAAAGAAAAGGGACATTTTCTCTTATTTGGTGCATGGTGGAAGTGTCTCTATAGAAGCATGACAGAGGTAGGAAGTGAAAATCTCTCATGAATAGCCAGAGAGGTGTTTCTAAGCTTGTGTGATGGGCACATTGTTCTTTCAGCCCAGCCCATGAAATGCCCATGGATGACAGACCAAGAGGCAAACTCCACCGAGGGGGAGAGGCAGCATGTGAGGCACCAGTGCTGCCTGGGCTTCACTCCATCTCCCCCCAGCTGTTATTGCAGTCCTGGTGATGTCTGGTTTATTTTCCGCATGCCCAGCTGCTGTCCCAGCTCCTTCCACATCCCCGTGTTCACCTTCCCTGCAGGGCAGGGCAGGTGAGTGACCCTTCCTGGAGCAGGATGCCCGTGCTTCCCTGGCCATGAGTCACTGGGGGCAGGAAGTGGCTCCAGCCATTTGCATCTAGCTTGGGGCTCTGGAGCATCCTGGCCTGGACAGCAGAGCAGGTCAGGATCCTCCAGTTTTCCCTGGTGTAAGGCTGCTCCAGACTGTGCAACACAAGATGGCTCATGGCTTTTCACCTGGTGGAGAGACCAATTCAATATCTGTTCCCTCTTTAGGTCTGTGTCTTCAAACACAGCCATAGAATGTGCTGCAGTTACTAGAAAGAATACAATATTCTTTATTTTGTAGGAAATGGCAACGTACATGTTTAATATTCTTTATTTAGAACAAGTCAGCATCTTCTTGAAGCAAAGTCTGTAGCAGTTTCTCATCATGGTCTGCTTTCCTAACTTGCATGACAGATGTCCCCTCAGCTTCAGAAAACAGCTCTCCCAAAATAACCTCCCAAGATGCCTTTGTATAGCCCAAAACCTGGCTGACATGATGCAGGGTAGCTTTCCAGTGAATTTGTAGGCTGTACTACATATGCTATCTGTGCTTTGACACTAACAAAAGCATTAGAGTATCCTAATATTTGATTGTCAAGGCTTGGCCTTGTCGGGCTCTCACTCTGTGTGGTATCAATGCAGCAAAACTTTGCTAATGTAGGAGTTTTATCACCTTGACTACACTCAGTCCCAGCTCAGGGACAAATGCACCATGGGTCGATTGCTTTTATTACTCATTAACACAAGGTGGTCTGTGCTCTCCCTTAAAGCCAAGCTATTTTATGTTAGAGAAAGAGAAGCTACTGCCAGTCTTGGGAAGTGGTTGCCACCAGTCTACTGACAAAACCATTTTTGCAGCACCACCCCCGTGAGGTTGCAGTCCCGTGAGCACAGAAGGGTGGTGTTCTGCCTTTACTTCCTCAGTGTCTAATACACAGTGAGCAGAGGGCCTGGAGCAAGAAGGAAGTGGTGATGCTGTGCATCCATGCATGGAATACAGACCTCTCTGCAAACAGGCAGGCACCATGACGTGACTTGTGCTCAGGGCTTGTCCAGCAGGAAGGGCTCAGGAGTCAGAGGTGAAGGAGAACTTTAGAAAGGGTTTCCCTAAGAGCCCTTCTGCTCCATGGGCTTGTCTGCCCAACCCTTCCCACTCCTCCCTCCTGGCTGCTCCACCTCCATTTTCCTCCATTTTCCTGCTTCACACACCCCCATCCATGCCTTCTAAGTGTGTTCAGCTCCAGAGAAGAGCTCCTGGGATGTGAGATGTATACACAAATAAATTACAGAGCAGTGTGTAATGTACCCCTTCAGCCATGCTCATACAGCCACAAAACCTTGGGATTTAGCTTGGCTTTAGCTCAGTAACCCCAAGGAAAACAGTAAGACTTCTGAGCAGCCTATGATTTTTCAAGCAGGCAATATACAAGATTAAAGGAAAATAGGAAAGCAAAGGCATGTTCTGGTAGATGAGAGCTTAAAGGATTGGTAAGTAAAAGCTGTGTTTGTACATGCGTGGTTGTGTGTGTCTGTATATTATACACACAGATATGCTTGCACACACTCCTTTAAAACAGCTTTTTTAGTCACTACGAAGCAACAAATGCTAAAACAAGCATTTCATTACAGTCTTTTCAGGTTCTCAAAGTACCATCTTCTCCTCAGTACAACAAATTTAGTTTTATGGCTGCCTATGAAATCCCACACCTGAGAAACATATCATCTCAATGATGTATTGCTAACCCCACTTTAGAGCTGGGGCAAACCAGGCCCTGACTAAGTGTCCATAGATGGAGAGCGAGGAGTCCCGCTCCCCTTTGGCGCCGGGGCAGGACTCCCTGCCCGGGCGTGGTGAGATCCCTATCGGTGAGAACGTGTGTGACCGCTCGGCTTTCCCGGGAGCCGCCGCAGAATGCGCGCTGCCCTCGCTGCATACCAGCTGCACGCAGGTGTGTTTTGGCAGAGCAGCTGGGTAGTGGATCGGACACACCTTTTCTCGGCATGTCACAAGTTCCAGTGCACAGCCCTCGTCCCCAGGCACCCCGGGGGCTGTTGATGCCCTGCCACGTCCCTGCGGAGTCATCCTCACCCAAGCGTGCCTTTCCCAGCATGAGCCTGAACTTTCCCGTGCGCTGATACCAGGGTGATTAAACGCAAGTGAAGCACAACCTCCGTGCCACTGCTAGCAATCGTGCGGGAAGGGGAGGGAGAGCAGCGTGGGCATTTAGCACTCTCCAGAGTCCAGAGAAGCACAGGAGAAAGGAGCCGCGGTGGAAGGGCTCTGTGTCGTGTCCGTGCTCCTCAGGGACACCTTAGCGCAGGGGAGGGGCCGTAGGTGAGCCTGGCCCTGCAGGGCTCTCCTGGCTGGAATCCAGCCCTCCCTGTGACTCACTTCACAGGAAACATCCCCTTCAGACCTCTGTGCCTCTCGCTGATACTCACCAACCT